CGATCCTCTACATATTATACAGCGCAGACCTGACTTATAATATCCAGCACTGCAAATACCATCTCTACGCTGACGACCTACAATTATATATCTCATTCAGGCCTGAAAACTACGAAGAAGCTGTTGCTAAAGTCAATAGTGACCTATCTAAAATAAGTGCTTGGTGTGAGTCAAACTGTTTAGTGATCAATCCAAAAAAATCTAAGTTGATGTTGTTGGGATCAAAAAAGAAATTGCAGAGATTAGATAGCAGACCCTTAAATATACAATTAAATAATGAACTCATAGTCCAGGTTAATAGGGCTAGGAATCTGGGGTTAACTCTGGATAGCCAACTTAATTTTGAAAGCCATATCACCAATTGTGTGCGCAGTTGTTTCTATCGTCTCAAACTCCTTTACAAAATACGACCTTATCTAAGTGAGCAACTTCGAATTACTTTATGCGAATCTCTTATTCTATCTAAGTTCAACTATTGTGATACTGTTTATGGTCCGTGTCTTCTGGCAAGGACGGCCAAGCTCATACAGCGTGTCCAGAATGCATGTACACGCTTCTGTTTCTGTGTGCCTCCTCGATCTCATGTAACACCGTTTCTTAATAACGCCAACTTATTAAAAATGGAGGCCCGCAGAAAACTCCACCTCGCTGTTATGCTTTTTGGCGTCATTAAATCAGAAAAACCAGATTATTTGTACAATAAACTCACGTGGGCTCGGGATTGCAATAGGTATCCTATGAGAACCTGCAAAATTATTTTCTTGACGCCGAGGCATCACACTAGAGCATTCCGTGGATCTTTCAAGTTCGCTGCCTCACGGTGCTGGAACGACCTTCCTCCTCCATTGCGTGACCTTAAAACAATAGGTGTGTTTAAAAAACATCTAAAACAACACTTATTACTACTTCAGTTATCGATAAATAAATAGAAAAGCACTTACATTTCGGTAGTCGCGACGCGCTATGGAGGGGTAGGAGAAACGCCGGCGCCGATTAGACTCAATGACGTTCATTTCTTGTTTATAAGAACTGGCGGTGAGTTTGGGACGTCCAATATAGCTCTTTTTTTTTATTCCATCTTTGTATACGTGGCAATGCATTGTCACGTGTATCGGATAAACTTGATTACGTAGGATTTCTCATTTTTTTTTTTTTTTACTCGTTGGCTTGCTTACGTCAATATATGGTGGAACTTTCAAGGTCACAGACTAATAAGGCGAAACTTTCTAGGTCACAGACTAATAAGGCGAAACTTTCTGTCAGATGGTTGGGTCGCGGGGTGAAGTGTTGTATACTGACAACTCGTTATTCGCGTTCAGGAATGTAACGGACACTTAGTATTATAAGCACATATATTATTTTTTTGTTTAAAATTATATCAAATGTCACTACCCACAGGCTCTGCCAGAATATCAGCGCTGTTGCGTGAGCTGATTCTCACTGCAACAGCACAAGCTGAGGTAGTGTCCTGGTTGACCACATCACATGTGCATGATGGATTGAATTATGTGTATTTCTGTCTTCTATATTCTGTATCACTTTTTATTATTCATTTTATTTTTTGTTTATAATTGTAAAGTGTAATGTGAAGGTCAATAAAAATACTTACTTACTTACTTACTTACTTACTTACCATTAAAATACACTAACCAAATTCAGTTATCTAAATTTATCAGGTCTACTAAATTACATCAGCATTTGCAATGGAACGGTGAAAAGCTTACAATACGTCACCATCGACAGCTCATTCTCAGTAGTTACGAAATAATAGCCGCACCAATTCAAATAAGAGAGCAAACTTCGCAAATAGAGCCTTAATTCAGACCACAGAAGATCGACATCGTCTGCATATTCTAAATAGCAAATACGCAAAGCGTAGCCAATACACTTTGAGCTACAGGCGCTCACTTTACCCCAATACAGAGTTCACGGTTTCGTTTTGAAAGAGGGGCTATAGAGGTTCTAGATACACTGGTTTTAAAGAGAAACACATCACACGTCAGCGAAATCGCAACGTTTCATGGGAACAAAGTGCATCTAGTTAAAACGAGGTACAATAGCACCATCAATATTGGCCGCCACCCCTTTCAGCCCCCCTTTCCAAATGGCGACGTGAACAATCTCGCCCGTCGGTTCGTGGAAAATGGAGGGCATATCAATTAACGTTTGGATAGTTCATTCAATAACTTCTTCGGGGTTAACTAACTCAAAAACACTTAAAAACGATGAGATTACTAAATATACAATCACCTTATTTGTGTTTGATCATCAGATTACGATTATCATTACGTTAGGCGTTTCACAGGGATCTTATCTCGGACCATTATTATTTATTACCTCTATATGAAGTGCCAATGCTAATGAGCCTAAATTACTACAGCTTACCACTACTAAAACTGAGAGGCAATTTATAAATTTTTCTGCAGTTATATTCTACGACAAGAATTTCACAAAAAAAAATCTCGCTACTCTTAAAAACCATCCTTCCTCCTTTCTGTTGCATAAAACCACCGATTTCCATAAACAAATGAGTAAGATCCTTTCACAACTTTGAAATCTACAGAGCATCCTTTTACGCTCCAGGGGAAAGTAAAAAGCGTCGCATTCTTATTTTAAAGTCGAAAGATCTTTTCACGAACTGGCTTATTGCTGTGCGGAAGACTTAAACACAAATAAACCAGACAAAGAGCGGCACCAATATACGGTAGTCTTTTTTTTCTCAAGACCGTCTTGTATTTACTTTGCACTGCAAACTTCCTTTATTGAAACTAGAGATAGCATTTTTAAATTTGAAAATATCAATTTTGTAGGGTCAGCTAATGATGCATTTATTATGAATACCGCGAAATAAAGCTTTAAAATTATAATTAATTAGGTAATTACTCGAAACTTCGTTTATAAAGGGACGCTGACAGTTGTTAAGTTTCACTACAAAAAGAATATAATGAAGCTTGTAAGCTCTCATCTAATTTTGGAGTATCTTTGTGTTTGCCGAAAAAATTTTACGAATTTCAGTTTTTCTTTGTAAACTGTATTTTCTTATAAGTTATACTAAGCCATAGAAAGGAAATTTACATTAACTAAAAACTTATTCTAATTTTTTCTTAGGAATTACATAAATCATGTACCTATAGAACAAGAGTATATCGAACATTAATAAGACATAGGTAATAAGACTTAGAAAATATAGGTAAGATAGGATAGGTATTTTGGAGAATAACTACCGATAACATATACAATATCTGTAGGCAGTATCTTACGCAACAGTCAGTCGCTTCTGTATTTTATTTTAATAAGCTAATAGCAGGATATTTTATTTTCTCTAAATTACACTATTTTTGTACTTTTTGTTGAAACTTTCTAGCAGAGACCACTTCATACACGTTAATGCATAATTTACTGTGACATTGATATGACAATAATTACATAGAATAGAAAAGAAAATTCTTAATTATTAACATTACACAAGTTACATATACACTTTTCAGAGTTTTAAATTATGTTACATTTAGTGGCTTTATTGCTTAAAGCTTTCTTTCTCCTAGGCGACCATGGAATGAAGAGAGAGATCACAATTAATAAAGACGGGGGGTATAAATGTTATCAATAGAAACAAAATATGCAGTAATTTCGCTTCAGGCTATACGACTTTGGAACGCACTCCCTCCCCACATTCAAGCTGCTCCAAATAAATTATGTTTCAAAAGACTGTTACGCGATAAGCTATTGAATTCTCCTACCGCTTGTAATTAATCTGACTTATTTATGTATGTATGTATTATATATTTATTTATGTTATGTAATTTGTTATGTATATTTATTTCCATTTTTTTTTATATATAACTATTGTTTAAGTGTAAGACACTTTATTTATATTTTGCATAGCACCGCCTCATTAAATTCTTTATGTCTTAACTCTCCGGTTGACTGGTAGAGAATGCCTACTGGCATTAAGTCCGCCATTTGTACACTTTATTTGTGCAAAAAAGTTTAAATAAATAAATAAATACTTACATGAATACATATATATATGATATATACTACATACATATGGAATAGTGGTAGTAGGTAGTACTTAGCAGGATATTTAATTGTGAAAGGCAGAATTCCTTGGCGCTGTTTTTTTTTTAATTTGCAGAGATTTTGTTCACCTTATAGACACTGGAAGGGAATTCCAGAGACGAGCAGCTTGTATATAATAAATTTCAATGACGAAATGGGGATAACCACAAGACTTATACAAGTTGTTTTTTCCTTTAAAACGTAACGGTTTCCTTTTGCAGAATCTTTTATACAAATCACAAGTGTAACTTATAAAAGAACTTTCATGATCTTCCAATCTTTCCTTCTTTAGCTTCCTTCCCGGTTTAGGAAAAAGGGGTAACACGATCACACTCATGTCTGTGCATTCCATTTGTCTGCCAATTCGCCTTATTTCTGAAATTAATGTGTCAAAATTTTGAATAATACGGAAAATGGGTTACAGAGAAATCAATAAAAACGTGTACTTCTTTAAATCTAAAATTGTACGAAAACCTTAAAGTGCGAGGAGAATTTGGTCACCGATTGTATGACGGGGTCTTGTCATAGTAGCTTAACCGCCAAGCTGCATCATATAACTTCCCTATTAATTAAATGACAAAAAAATTGGTTATTAATTTGACATGTATATATGTAATTTCATTTGGTGCAATATTGAAATATGTTAGCAATCTAAATATTGCCCCAAACGATGAAATGAACGAAGTACTTTAGAAGATAAACTATTAAAGTTGGTTTAATTTTAAAGAAGTTATTCAATTAAATAGTACGAGTGTTAATTTTCTTATACATATACTACACCCGACTTCAATAAAACTTTCGCTTTAATAATTGTTTGAAGTCGGTTTGTTGTATGTTTTTTTATCTATTACATGTTTAAGTAAACACACGAAGCAAAAGACCCAAATGAGCGGAGAGACAACCATCATGAGTGAGAAATCAATATCGATAAGACACGCCATCGAGAGTTTCAAACTCTTAGTAAACATAGTACTTCGACACGGAGGCACCTTGTCAGGCACCCGAATGAAACTCGACGTGTATAATTTTAATTAATAAGTTTCCTTCGCTCAGCTGTCTCCGTGGGCTCTAAACTTTTAATGACTATCGAGTTTCGTTGCGATACCTTGTTTGTGTTCACGGATCGTAATCGATACCCTCGGTTCAGGTCTTACTAGATTTTATGTTTAGTCTAGAATAGAATAGGCCTCAATGGCAAATGCAAGTAGGTAGTCGAGTTTCTATCGAGATGCGATTATTACGTAAACGTTGGCAGAATTGGTATACTTGTGTCATGTTAATTCGTATGAGGAGTAAATAATATAATAATGGCGGCTCTAACAATAATGCCTTTTTAATTAGCAACTACCTTGCATCAGAATGAGTCAAATCAGCTTTACTTACTGATATATAATGCCAACACAACATCCGTTTCCTGATAAATAGCACCATTCACCTTTGATAAATAAATCAAATCATTTAATGACTCTGTGAACAGTTCTGTTCTGTGAATAAATTTGTTTAACTGAAAACTATACTTTACAATTGTCTATTACAATATTACCTGCAAGGCCGGATTAGCCACGTAGCAAAAGTAGCAAATGCGGGGGCCTGCAATTGGAAGCCTCGCTGTGGTTCGGGGCCTATAAATTAATTTTTCAAGACAATGTTAAAAATGCAAGAAATAATATAAGCCACCTTTCTGACTAAATTTATATTTTTGAGTATAAACATAAACTGAAAAATAAAACTCGAGTCACAGATGGGTTGTATTATATTATAGGGAAACCAAAGGACGTCTTTTCTGTTTTAGGAGGTGGGGGGGTTGCTTCTGGCCCTAGCTTAATTCTGTTCTACTTATAAGTAGATTAATGGTTAAGTATAAGGTAACTCTCTCATATAATATATTTTACATAAAATTTCAATTCTTAACAAAACACAAATTCTGCATCCCAAAAGTCTAAAACAATGTCAAATTTTAACCATCATTTAAACTTCAATAATTAGATTGTCTTACTTTAGAGACAATAACTGAGCTTGTGACTCCTTCTGTTCATACAACGTTAAAATATCACTTGTTACAAAAAATCAAGATTTTATATTACATAAACCACAAGACGCTCCAGATATTTCTAGACTTGTAATAAATCTGATGAAAGATAAAAACGAAAACTAGCTGTTCTCATAGGAGGACACACTCTACAAATGTTGAATGATACACTCAAAATGCCTGCTTAAAGCACACAATGCTGACAGAAATCCTCTTCATTATTTCAATGACTATCTAACTATTATCTATCTATACTACATGATGTTAAGTTTACAATCACTATCTTGCTATGCTTGCTATACACTCGGTATACAAGTAGTGATAAAAGATTACACTCATACCGCTCGCAATATGAATCATGGACGCTAACTGACGTCATACAATGCTAAAATATCACATGAGATTCAAGGCTAAATAATGACTACATAAATTGCTTAACTGATATTGTGCTTTAGGATAACTGTAAAATAATTAACGAAAATAAAATGCGATATTTCAAAATGTCACTAAGTTTTTTTATTTGAGCATAAGACTAATACTAGTTTTGTCATCATCTGGCTAAACCCCCATTCCTGAGGCTCAGGCCTTCATTATGGATGGAATCGAATAAAATCAGATACGGAGAATGGGCCATGACCTACCCCGCGACCCCAGTGAGGATCAGTGAGTATTAACGAGGCTTAACGTGCCTTTTGAAGCATGGAGGAGCTCGACATAATAAATTTCCGGTCACCCATCCTATGACCGGTCGCTCGAGCGCGCTAACCACTGCGCCATCGAGCTCCTGATCAACAGTAGCTTCACAGACCAACAAAAATAAAACCGTGAGTTTTATTTAGAAAAAACATATTTCGTTTCCAAATCTATTGTCGTGAAAAGAGATAAACTCTATTCTCTCTATTCGCGAGTGTATTCTCAATTTGAATTTTGAATACTAATGTGAATACGACCTAAATGTAGTATTCAATCATTCAAGCGCAAGGCTAAGGTCACACTGTCCTTTTACGGTCATCTTGTTGGAAACTGATAAAAGAGTTTATAATAAGACTCCTTGGTCTAATTTTTTGCAGTCAAAGTCATAGTATTCGAGTTCTATAAATGTTTAAATATTTACAAGTGACTCAGACGAACATAAGGCGAGTAGCAGTACATCATCGCTTGGTATTACTACAAAATATTAAACGTGCACAACCCATTTTGAACTTTATATTTAATGTATATTAAGGTTAAAATACGTGGACAAAAATTGTTTTTTATAAAGTAACATATTGTGCGCTTGACTGTTGAAAGTATGCATTCTTAACTATTAATATTCACACATACATTGATAAATATGGCATCACCAGCCTTATAATGTCCCCATTGGTGGGGCTGAGACCTTCCCTGTGGCCGGTATCGAATCAAACAGGGAGAAGTGCTATAACCCACTATGCGGGCCCAGCGCGTATTGGTGAGTATTAACGTCTGCAGATTCAGCCGGCACCGACGCCTTGACGTGTCTTCCTAAGCACGGAAGAGCTCAAAATAATAAATATTCGGTTACCCATCCTGTGAGCAGCCATTGCGAAAGTTGTTCAAACAAAAAACATGTGCTTTACTAAAACAAATGTATCCAGACCCCTTCCAAATTGTAACATTGCACTCACATATGTCCCTGTAACAAACAAACTAACTTTAAAATACAATGTAGCTGCCCTTGTCTGAAAAAAGTTGATAAAATTAAGTAACTTAATGTAATCAAGTAACTTAATTTAATGTATGTATAGAACATTTGAGATGGAACGCACATATAACTTACGTATCAAAGAGAATTGAATGAATGAATGAATGATAATTTTATTTGCAATAATCACAGCACAACATGCTAAATACACACTGACATAAAATATAAAAACAAAATAAATATAAAGAAATTAAATTAAACAAGCGATTAAAACACACACAGGATCACATGTATGCCGGGACGATGCAAAAAGGGCAAAAGCTCGGCAATATGTTTGCTTGAAAAGCAAACTGCCGATTTTCAGCTTTAACCTATTAATTTATTAATTAGAAAACTTATTATTATTTTTAAAAATCTGAGATATGTTGCTAATAGAGATTTACTTATACAAACCTATTAAGCTCTGTCAATGTCTTATAGAATATTACTTATGTTCTTGAGGTGGCGCAGGCAAAAACCATTTAATTGAACTGGAAAGAGCACAAAGAGCCTCATGAAGGTGATGTTGTCGCTTCCTTATCGTTATCCTACAAAAATGGTGTATGAACACGCCCTATATCATAGATCGGTTGTTCCAAAAAATAATCTTGCATCAAGAGGTCATAGATGAGAAAGATCAAATTCCCAATTCAAACAGTTAAAAGTTCGTTTTCTAAAAGAAACTTTAACAGTCTTGCACCACGTTTTTATAATCAATAATATTCCAAATATAGTTACAACGTCCAACTATAAAATAAAAACAATGATAAAAGAATGGTTAAACACGTTTGATTATGATATGTGTGAGAAACTTATTTTAAATTTGTTGCAGCAATGAAATAATTAAGTAACAAAGGAAAATATAAATTAAATAATATTATTTTATGATTTCTTTTTTGTGGCCAATAAGTGTTTCATATGTAGTTGTACATTTATTACAAATAGATCTTGGTTTTGGAAAAATCATTTATGCTAACTTATGTTTATTAATAGCTTTCTGTATTTATTATTCTGGAACACCACTTCCAATATTGAATTGTTACAGTAATTAGGAAGGTACTGGCTCCCATAATACAGTTCAAACTAGTATGGGAGACAGGGCACAAAGAATATTGTACTGTTATTGGAAATAAAGTTATTATTATTATATGTATTAACCATTGCGCCATCGAGCTCCTCATATACTTATATATACTCCGTGCTTAGGAAGGCACGATAAGCCGTTGGTCCCGGCTGAATTTGCAGTCGTTAATACCCTCCAATCCTCATTGGACCAGCGTGGAGGGTCATGGCCCATCATAAGGAAGGCCTGAGCCCCTGCAGTGGGGACGTAAAAGGACTGGTGATAATGATGATGATGATATAACAGTTAAAACCTCAATTCCTTTATCTCAAAAGACAAATCGCAAAAATAATTGCGAATTCTTCCTTCCTTCAAAAAACCACTCGCTTATCTAACACTCGCAAACTGTATTACCTCGTTTGTTTTCCTACAGTCATTGGTCTGTATAAGTAGTTGACGGTCGTCCACAGTACAGTGTCATTTCATCTGTGTAATGGTTGTGTTGTGATAATAATGAAGATGTTTTGTTTGTTTGTGTTTCTGTTTGTGAGCGTTTACGCGTGGGGCCGCGGGGATTTAGAAAAGTACGGACCATTCCAAGTCGCTTTGCACTCTAATCTCATCAAATGTAAGTTATAACAATTATCTGTAAACTCTTTTATAAAAGTAATATACACTCCATTTGTATTTAAAGTAGAGACCTGGTTTTGGCCAGTTTAAGATTATGACCTAGTTTTGGCCATTTTTAGATAATGACCTACTCATGGGTATCTTAAGAGTTAGTTGTATGTAAATTATGACGCATTACAGTATTAGTTTTACTATAATGCAACGTTTTAAAACTTATTCACGGTAAAATAATATATTTTACGTTTGTTAGAACGCCTTAAAATTCCATATGGCCAAAAAGGGGGATAAGCTAAAAACTGGGTCTTTATATATGTACGAACTCAGTTAAGTTAGCGTTTTACTTCCGAATGATAGATAATAAATAAACTTAACTCGTATAAGTACAGTTCCGTTAAGGCATTCTAAAAGTTTCCACTGATGTGGCAGAGACAACTAAGAAATAGATATCATAGCCAGAACCCACCATGCGGACCCACCCAACTCGATATTATAATTTTTTGGTCACCCATCACAACACCGACCTTGGTGAAAGTCGTTATTGAACAGCTGACTAACAACAGTATAGACATAGTTTGTCGTTTACACGTATACTAGCTTACCGCTCGCGGTTAGCTTCCGTGGAATACGGTTCTTTCGCGATAACAACTATCCTATACTATGTTCTTTCCCGATATCCTCCCAGCTTACTGATATCCAATTTATTGAAATTTGGATAGAGCAGATAGTGACTACTGAAATTGTATGCGTTAAATCGTAACAGACACACAGACAAGTTACTTTCGCATTCATATTATCGGTATGTGTTATTCAAAATACCCAAGTAGTTACTTGTTAACCTACATATAAGAATAAAGTAAGCATAGGTTGACTAGTTTCCGTGCATTATTTACTTCCTATTTAAGGTGATGTCGAAAGGTCAATAAAACGGCGCTTTTTTAATTTTAAATGAAACTCTTTTTACGTTTTATTTTTTATTTAAAAACGTGCATAATCTTAAAGAAAAATGAGGCCCGATAAAAAAAGTTATAATGGAATAAAACGTGAAGAATTTTTTTTTGTATGTTTTTATGTTAACAAAATTATGCAAAGTATTGTTTTTACTTTGTAGTTTTGAAATAATTTTGAACGTTTTTAAATAAAAAATATTTTTAATTAGTTTTCTTCCACAGACAATTTGTTATATATTATGCGCGCCTTTATTTCTTGCCCAGTGGGGAAGTTTCTGATATAGCAACCTGTTTTATTTACCCATAACATTTTTTCTTTTTAATAATAACTTTTTTATTTCTTTACGAAAAGCAAAAAAATTAAATAAAGTCACGATTGATGAAAGCATTTAATTGGAATATTACTGATTCGCGACTAGACCAAACCTTAATAGTCTTCTTTTTGGAACGATTCTTTTTTTATTGCTATACGTATTTTTAGGGTTCCGTATTGAACAAGGAACCCTTATAGTCTAGCCATGTCCGTCTGTCCGTCCGTCCGCGGATTGGTACTAGAAAGTTATATTTTGGCATTAATATACACGTTAATTGCGTCGCAGCGCAGAAGTGATAAATTTCGCAAAAAAAAATTTTGGGTACTTTTTACTGCTTTTTCGGGTAGATAAGTAAAGTGGGGATGATATTTTTTTCATCTTCTCCACAGTGTGGGGCATCGTTTGATAGGTCTTTCATAAAAATTGGGGATGTGGGATGGTCGTTTTTCGATTTATTAAGCTTCGAAAGATTTATAGAGCTAATTTTTATTAGAACAAGTATGTACTCGTAACATATCTAATCTTTTTTTATAGTGCAACAACATTGCAAATATTTATGTCAACTCAGACTAATCAACAATAGAAGTGTCGATTCATTGATTTATAATAAGTGTTACGATTACGTCACTACTGCTCATTGTCATGAGCAAGTTGATTTTTTTTTAACTTTCGTTACGGTAGATAATTATCCAATACACAACTTTTTTATGTTACACAAACACATTTTTGCAGTTAAATTGAAAGGAAAGCTCATTCAGTCATCATTCTATGTTAAGTCTATTCTCTTGTGGAATTCTCTCCCCTTACATCTTAGAATGTTACTACAATGTGTCTCCACATCACCCCAAGATTGGCTAGAAGAAAATGCCATATATATTAAGTCCGACTATGTCCACATGTGCATGAAGAATTAAATAAATAATACAGAAATTAATCCACTTTCGCAAGGGCAGGCAAAAAAATATTTTCTCGAGCACGGAGAAAATATTTTTTTACATGAAATAATATAACTGCAACTGTTGCCATTAACACCTACCAATACACACTGGGCCCGTGTAATGGGTCATGATGGGATAACAATTAATCAGTAAATCATCCAATTCAATGGTAAATATCGTCTAATTAAACAGGCATTCATCAGTCAATGATATTTCTTACTTGATGAGAAAATGTGAGTTTTTTTATCAGAACCGGTACGAATCGGAAAATATATCCGATGGGGTTTGGCTTATTAGAAACATCCTTTGATGCGACATCCTCATTACACTAATAACGTTTCTGCTTCTGCTGAAGTCGGATAAATATCAATTTCAATAGAGCTATATTTATACAGGATTTATTTTAAAAATTAGGAAAGTAATATTTTTTTTAACTTTAATAAAAAGGAACTCATTTTTTTGGACAATTGGTAAACATTCAACCCTTCACTGGTAGAAAATGACTTATGGCTTCGAACCCATGACCTTTCGCAATCTAGGGGACTGCTCTAACCACTGAGCTACCCAGGACCCAACAGAACTGACGAATTTTTTATGCACTTGTTACTTAATAGGTTCGAATCACATCTCAGAATACCAGTGACAAAGTAGATAATTTATGCATTTTTATTAACAATATTTTCCAGTATAGCATTTCATCTTATGAGATAAAGCCCATCATTTAATGCAATGTGGCAATGAAGGATAAATAATTAAATATAACTTTATATATAAATAATCTAAGCGTTTGTATTCTTAAAGCGACAATTAATTAAAATACTCCCTGTTCCCACCTTATCATCAGCTCTTTTACGTCCTCACTGCAGAGGCCTTCCCTATCTTTTAGCGTGGAGGATCAAACTGACCTAATACGGATTGGAGGGTATGAACGACTGCAAATGCAGCCTGGACCAACGGCATAACATACCTTCCGAATAACGGTAGAGCTCGAGAAATAATTTTTTTTTAGTCATCCAACCTATAACGCTGATATAATACTTTCGATAAATGTCCCTGCCTGTATTTGCCTAAGAATAGACTGTAGAATGGAAGGCCAACAAATATACTGGATGAAATAAGACAATAAATGTTAAAGCACACTTTATTCCTACTTACAGGTAGCCACGACCGAGACCTGAACCTAGACGTTAGCGAAATAAACGTATACTTTTACGACTTCCCGAAAAACGACGTGGAATCATTCACAATAGATAACGCCGCCAACGGGATACTCTCCATCAAAGGCCTGGACAAGACCAAGAAATTTATTATATTCGTAGGAGGATTCAAATCTAATATCAATAAGAAAACCGAGGAACAAATCAGGGACACTTTTAGGACCTTCCCTAACAGTTACCTGATCATCCTTGACCATTCCCCTTACACGAACGACAAACAGGGCAGCTTGAAGAGCTACGAAAGGTCCGTGAAATATGTCCACTACATTGGTAAAGCATTGGCCAATATGCTCACGAAGCTGTCAGAAGGTGGTATATCTCCAAAGAGTATGCACTGCATTGGCCATAGCTTAGGTAGTCAAATATTAGGCCAAGCCGGCGAGGTCTTCACCAATAACACCCAAAAGAAAATATGGAGGATCACAGCTTTAGACCCAGCCGGTCCATGCTTTTCCAACAGTTTGATTCAAGAACAGGTCAGATCTGGAGTAGCGGAATACGTAGAGGTATACCATTGTAATGCTGGCGGTTTGGGATCTTCCAGTGTTTTAGGAGACATAGACTTTTTCATCAATAAAAAAGGACGAGCACAACCGAATTGTGGTACTCCTTTAATCCCCGGCATATTCGATTCATCTAAAGCTGCTAAATGTAGTCACAGGGCTTGTATTGATATTTGGACTGCTACAGTCAGTCACCCAGATTGGTTTAAGGCATGGAAATGTGACTCTTATAAAGAGTTCAAGAAGGGTCAGTGTTCGATGAACGAGTCTACTATTGCTGGTTTCTGGAATCCTGGTAATGCTACCGGTGTATATTATTTCTCTACCGAAGGTTATGACTTTTAGTGAAACAAAGACTTTATTTAGTAATATTCTTTTTTAGTTTTGTTAAATTAAAAAAGAATATTACTAAATAAAGTCTTTGTTTCATTTAACAAAACTAAAAAAGAATATTGACTGAAAACTGTTTATTGTTGTTTTATTATGATTGAGACAATCATGTCCTAGATATAATAGGTTTTAAAAGAAACGAGATTTCGTTATTGCAAAATAATACAATTGTATGATACACGTCACGGTGACCACAATATATCAATGTTTTGTTAACTTGGCGTGTTGTCGATTGTACTCGAGCCACCCACGCATAAAGCGTGAACTGATTATTTCCGGTTTCACATAGTAACATTTTCGACGTAGGTATGATGAGTGTATTATAGTTTTGTCAATAATAATAGGTGATAATGGAAACATTAGAACAGTTACAATCCATTTAAAATTGTCATTAGTTTACATCGCAAATTTTCAAATTTAGAACATTAATCTTATAATGTTATATGTTTGTGCAACTGGATGTGAGATATTTAAAAAAATAATTTGTTTGAAAAATCTAGAAACACACAATAATTTAAATTGCTTATTGGATAATATAAAACATTACAAAACTTTTTTTTTTAAAGAAAAAACAAAAACTAAATCAGGCATCATATATTTAATGACTATAGATTCCTTTGTCTTTTATTAGAGTGAGAGTACCTATAGGAAAGTAACCATTCAATGAATTTTTAACTGTTTTCTTGGCCTTTTGGGGCTAAGAACGGCTTATATGATTTTTCACAAGTAATGTAACAAAAAAACCACGCTACGTGTAACTTTGGCAATAGGGATGTTTACTACAAGTGAAAATGTTCGGAAAATATGAAACATTTTATTGTTTCACTTGTAAATATTCAATGAAGGAAGTTTTATTACCCTGATTTGGAAAATATTGCGATTTAAAAACTTGAAAAATATAGGAAAAATATATTACAAAAATTAGCTGAAATGGATATGGCATTGAATTAGTTACACAAAATTTCATTATATCAACTAAGTATAAACATAAACCTACAATAATAATAAAGTCATTACTAAGATTACCCTAAAACCCATACGTTTTTCGCTACCGTACTATGAGCATCACTTGATGGCATGAATTCGTATGGATTATTATGGCCAACTAGTAACGTTTCGACAAACAAAACACCATATTTCCAAAACTATTGTGAACCCAGATACGCTGTTTCTTCTGCATTATTTCTCAGATTCATTTATAAAATATAAAAGTAGTAAAGTAGCTTATTGTTGCACTAACTAGACTAAAACTCATACGACGCCCACTGCTGGGTTAAATAATAGTTATTTACGAGCTCATGAAAAGAGCGGGCACCTTCCCGGATACCGGGCCGTGCCTGGTGCTCTCCTCCCTCCCCCTTGGAGGGGTTTTACCAGGTAGGCCGGCCTCGTTTAAGCCTAACCTTTTCAGGACGGGTGCGGGGTCATAGAGCCCTGGTTTAAGGCTTAAGGATGCTCGGCGTTAAAGAAAGTGTTTGCAACATCGCCGAGCTAAGTACATCAAATGGTGGCAAATTTTATTCTAAGCCAAAACACAATATTTCATCATAAATTAAAATTCTATTAGATTATTGACCACAATATCTTACAATAGCTGCTTATTTTCCTGTTGCGTAATATCTTAACGTTTCCTTATATTATAGTATGACTAAGTATATCCTATCTCGTCGTTCCCTTTATCATGTGACATTATTATAAGGTAAAAGTTGCAAAGAAACTACAACTACTGATTCATTTGCCAATAGATAAGTCCGTATAGAATTATCCCTATTCAATTCCATCTAAGGGAAGGCGCGTTGAGACATGAGTAGAGCTGGTGATGATGATGACAATAATCGTGTTGCTTTGTGAGTGGTCTATTTGGCAAATTATCATCCGTCTCTGTCTATCCATTTGCTTCCCTGTTGACGCTGTCTCGTTTTATTTTCGCCTGATTAAACCACGCCATAATCTGATTAAACCATGGTATGCACGTGTTATACACTTATAATATTTTTAGACGTAAGATATTTTCGACATCCTGATGTTTTACATCAAGCGTATATTAAGCTAAGAGCTCATTTCACATGCTTGGTCCCGAGCGACACATATATTTTGTCTACACTACAAACGCATCGATGCAGCACAAAGAGAATAATGGTCTGAAGAATACTCTAGCTTCCTATTTTTATTTACTCTTCACGTCTATAGAAAATGGTAAAAGTTTTCTTTGTTAAATGGAGATTGTGTCGTTTTTTCAAGCCTATAAGTGATGCACTGGTCACTTTTTAACAGATAATAAAAAAAAATATTATAAGGTACGTAAAGGGAGGTCAGGATGTTTTTTTTAATAGACCCCTGGTCTATAAAAAAAAGTTGTATTATTGTTCCCGGATGCTTACAATACCGGGGAAATTATATTTTAGAGATTGATTGATCATGCATTTCTGACGATTGAATAACCTAAGCCACAGTTCTAGATGTTTAGGCTATTATCTCCCGCTCGGGTTTCGAGCGCACCTACTTATATATTTGTACTGTGACAAAACACAACGTTCAATTATTTGTTCGCACATGCATTACTCCGCCACCCCCGTATCATCCCGGAGTAATTATTGTATGTCGAGACAAAAATGACCCAGCAGCAGATCTAGGTTTTTTTTTTGCAAAAGTATTGATGATATAATATGTTAAATTATAAAAACGTATAAAATGATTAAAGGGAAAAAGTCTCATTCACATAAGTAAACAAATAAAAAGGTTACATACAGTCAAACTTGCGTATGGGACAAAAATGGCACAGGTGGCGCTTCTAGTGTTAAATTCACTGTAATAAATGTTACGTTCAATTAAAAAGTTGTTGATGCTCTATGCAACAATATTTATGGTAAGATTATGTATATTAAAACTGGAAATACAATAAAATATACAGTTAATAAACCATTTATTTTCCCTATAATCGTTCGAAAATATTTAAACCTAAATTATTTTCGGCATACCAAATAGTATTCATTTTAATTCATAATCATAAAGAAATATTAATGGAATGCGGCAACATTTTCGTGCAGCATCATTTTCGAGTGAACACACCGCTCGCTCTCTGGCTTTTTTAACGGCCTTCCTTTAATTACAAAGGAAAATGGTTGGAAAAATAATTTTTCCCTCTTAATTGTCCGTTTAAATATGAGTTATTTGCATCGTAGCGAGCTTTTTTAGCGGAAAATATGTTTAATGTACCGAAATTGTTTATAAAAATTCGAGAGAACACCCATTTCAGTCTATTCAATGGAGATGAGTTTTATAAATGGCCTTATTATTCGGTGCATTGCCGTTTCAAGCGAGCGGTAATCCCATCTTGTTCTATTCTCGCAGACACGTCCAGTTGTCTTGACAGCTCATGATTAAATGCTCAAAGCGCGACTGTAGCGGTCGTGGAGGGGCGGCAGTGTAACCTACATTTGAAATTAGAATTTGGATCTATAGCGGGCGCCTTGAAAACAGTTTTCTTTGAACTTTGAAAAAAATGGGAATAAAAGAATGGAAATGGAATTGCAAGAAAGTTGATAATTTGCATGACAAAATTCAATTGCGACAAAGAAAACAAGAATCCCTCACGTTCAATTGGATTTATACAAAGTTATGACGTCCTAATAAGCAACCTATGTGATATTTTTAAAGGTTTGGATTTCGACACAACCAAAACGTGATTTATAAGATTTACTCGATGGCAAAAAATCTAAAAGTTACCATACATTTTTATATAAGGATATTTGAATGTATGAGTTGCTTTGTAACCGAGGGCTATGTAACGCTTCTAGAGTAATCTAGTAAGTAATTAGCTAATTTAAAAGCTATTCGACGTGTAAGTTAGCATCCTCTGCCCATATCTTCATTCCCGGCCACAACGATATAGATAAGATCAGTTATTTGTCTTTACCACTCTAACAGCTCGTTCACATTGATCAAGATTGGCTGCATGCAACGAGCAATTTTTATGCCCATTTTAATTGGTCAATCGGCTGTCATTAATTTATCATCCAATAAAATGAGCTCACAGAAAGACTACCGACCAATGAAATTGAGCTATTATGAGGGAAAATATAGTGACCTATGACACATGATGGTGTTCTTTAGACACCAAGATATGTCGTACGTGACAAAAATATCTGTCCATCGCGACACGGAGCGACGGGACGCTTTATAAATTTCAAAAATGCACACGAAGCCATTACCTCCTTGGCAAACATAATAAAAAGGTACATTTCTCTTTCGTCCCCGGCTTCTCTATGAAAAATTTCAACTACGACTCTTATTTCACTGGCGTAATAACACATTTGAAACGTTTGAATGGCAAAAAATGTTCTTTATTCTACATGCACACGGAAAACTCTTTTAAGATTTTTTTTACATAGTAATTTAAATAAAACATAAACTAACTCCAGATTAATTTATTGATTATTTAAATCTATATTTATATAGTGTATTATATAGGTATATATTTTTCAAAGTATAAGCATGACTAGTTAAGGCTTAATACTTCACTGAAATCTCACAACAAAGGTATATCTACTCCTTAAAGGAAAATGATTAAAATATATACTATAACAAAGATGGTAACATAAACCACAATCTTTCGATATCTGGTCGATTGCTCATACCATTGAGCTACCTTTTTTTTTATTTATTTTTATTACAAGAGCAATAGGCAACCCGAGACCAAACAGAGCTGACGAATTTTTCAACCACTTTACGCTACTAGTAAGCATATTTCCATAAATGTTCAGGCAATCCACCCAAATAACCGAAAGAAATATCTTTGCAAATATTAAAAAAAGTGAAAATGTGTTCTATAATTATTCATATTTTTAATTTTTCCTATTTTTAATATTTTGTTTGCTCAATTTTTCATTCAAACTGCTTTATTTTATGAATATACGAGTATTTAAAGAAAAATCATGTTCTGTTGGGTCTCAGCTAGCTCAATGATTAAAGCGAAATCCAAAAGGCTATCAGATTGAATACCATCTGGACTACTGAATTCTTTAAGTCTTTTTCTTTGATATAAATATAGGTATAGTATTATGAACGCAAAA